AATATGGTAGTCGTTAGGATTATGCGCAGATCTAGCCATCATTTTGTTTTAAATTTTCCGAGTATATATAACAGTAACATCACAGTAATGGTAGTATATGTGTGTGTGTGTATATATACACTCACATTAAAATAAAAGTTTTTTTTATTTATTTTAACCGTTATATAGGCTCGAATTTTTTCCAGTGAATTTCCACTGTAATGCGTGAAGGGCCCAGCGTGAAGAAAAAGTGGTCCCCCCTCCCCAACCCTACGAGCATATAATTCGCAAGCAATGTGACAATTTTACGATTTTGAGAATACTTTAATTATTTTTATTATAATTATATATATGAATTTTATTTTAAAATTTATCTGTTTCTCATACGCGTAAAGAAGACGAATTTTGAGGGCCACGGGGTTCACACGTGCGAAGAAAGTGTCCCTTCGTAAATGATCTTCTTAAAGACACTTGTCCCTACGAAGATCCCTTTGGATTTTATGTCAAGGCCTCGTCTCCCCTTCCTCTACAATAATCCTCTTCTTTTTTTCATCTCCATAGTTTTTTTTTTCGTTTAAGAAACAAATATACAAAAATATCGCCAACAATATATATATATATTACTACCAAGTCGATGTCTATAATAAAGGTCAGACCATATAATTTAATTTTGTAGTCTTACATGATTACATTTATATTCTCCTTGACGGTGAAAAATAGTTCTATATATATATATATTAACATGTCCTTCAATATGGGATAGGACTTCTAATAATGGGAAAAGGGTCCCTGGAGTTCATGACCTTTGTCCCCAACCCTTCTATGTTTTCTTTCCACATTTCATGAAGATGTTATTTCCTAGAAATTTCCCATATCCCTTCTTCTCCCTCTCTTTTTCCAATAATATATTATATAAAATATAAAGAAAAGGCTAGATTCCGAAAAAGAAGTTTATTTTCCATATTGAGAGTATAATGGAACTTACTTTAAATTGTTTTAGGTCGCTATATAATGAAAATATTATTGCACCCACTATCATTAAATGCGCCTAAACTTGTCCTTTTTTCAAAAAAACTACAAAATATATGGGGAATGAATGTTATACATGTATTCTTAGACTGATATTTTGAGTACAAACTTTGGAAATTTAGAAGTTAGTATTTTTTTTGGTTTAAATAAAAATGATAAAGTGGATTTTTTAACTTTTTTTTCGTGTGGAATCAGTCATGCATATTAGTTTATATTTTCAAAGGAATGTCAAATATGACAAAATGTTAACAATTTGTATTAAAAATATAGAGTGTATCTTTTATTATTTTATCTATTTGTTCTTATAGTGAAGTTCTAATATGGTCGACCAGGTTCACACCTAATTTTTGTCCGTATTATCCGATATTTTTTTATTTACCTCTTTTTTCGTTAGAAAAGATATAGTCCAATATACCTTTCATGTTTCCACTAATTTCAATAAACCGAGAAAACAATTAGTTGATTGCCGCAATCGTAGCATTGAGGAGTGTGTGTGTATATATGTATGTGTATATATATGCATCATTCGTATAAAGAGACGTATTATTGTACTATATAATATTGAAATCCAATGAATTACATAGATCGATGAGTGTAGTTGCATTTGCATAGCCCGCAAATCATGGCAGATTACGATGTGATACAATATCATGATTAATGGCGTGGAATATGATCACCCAATTTTTATTTGATATATCTATAGTTTCCTCTAATTATTCAAATCATGGTTTTGGACAACAAAACTGATGTTTTTTTTTTTAACCTAATGTCGTTATTTTAAAATTTTAATACAACTACACGAAGACACCCATTAACTAAGGATGGGCGCTCTTGGTTCTTCGAACCAAAATCCTTTATATTTTTTCAGAATTATATCATTCAAAATTTTCGAACGGTACATTTTTTTTATAAAACCGAATTTTTTCGAAATTGAATAGAATTTTATAAAATTTTCGAAAAACCGAATTTTTCTAAAAAAATCTATTTTTTTAACAAAACCAAATAATATATGGTACTAATTTGACATAAATTTTAAAATACTAAATAAAATATTCCCAAATCGAACCGGTGAAATTATAAAATTTTCGAAAAAATAAATTTTTTTAAAAAATCTATTTTTTTTTAACAAAAATAGAAATCGAACTGAACCAAATAATATATGATATTAATTTGATATAAATTTTAAAATACTAAATAAACCGTTTTCAAATTGAACGCTAAAATTTTGAAATTTTGAAGCAATCCCGAAAGACCATCCTACCCCTACCATTAACTATATATATTGTCCACGCAAGGCTTCTTATTGGTTTTACTAATTATTCTCTTTTTTTCTTTTCGGTAGCTGACGTGGACACCCCGCTTACGTTTTAAAAATATCATTTTTAAATTAAAATTCAGTGGGAGAAATGTGTTATTTATTTGCGTATATTGTATCATTGGTGTAAAATTTTATACTTGAAGAAGGTTTGGGTGTTGTAGGTCAGTTCAATAATAATGTTTACTCGATTGATTTCGAAACCAAAAATATTTAAAGTTGTGTGGTCTGTATGGTGCAAAAAAGATATTTAGGGATGATAAATCATGATTTTGAAGACAAAAAAAAAATCATTTCTTATTTGGATATGATTTGAAATATAAATAAATAAAGAAGGCATCAAATTTTCTCTGGCCTACAAATATATCAAATCATCTTTAAAGATGGATATATTACATTCTTTTATACATCCTTTTCAATATATATATATATATATATATATATGTATGATTCGATTTTTTTTTTTTTGTAAGTGGAAGCAAAGCACCCTCGAAATATCTTTATTCCGTAAACGTCAATTTCACCACAGAACAACAAATTAATGTCGGTTTTTTTTTAACAATTTAATTTTCACAATATATATACTTCTATCATAATGAAAGCATATGTTTCACGTATAGTTATGTTGAAAATATATATTTTTGAAAATCACTGTTTGATTAATAATACATCCATATCGGGTTCTGTGACTATTTATATTTTTAAATGATCAAATTAGCATTCAATCTGAATACAATTTTATACTATTTATTCCAATTATTTTTATGCGACGAGTTATCAATTTACGGAGAAAATACTATTAGCCATAGAGCCCCGTAAAAGAGATCCCATTCCCATGTCTGTATGTATTGACCACGTAGCCGATAGCTTTTTCAACCTAATTCTCGAATTTTAAACCATTCACCTACTCTGTTTATTATATTTATATATATATATATATATATATATATTTGAATAATGAAAAAGTGATAAAATCCCATATACGGTAAATATGGGGGTTGTTAAGACAATTTCATCATCGCATCAAAAGACGGTTTGAATATTCTATACATAATTAACAATCGATAATCATTTTTAATCATGTATAAGATAATGTTATTTAAAGGTTTTCACGTACCTCCTCCTGTTCACTGGCTTTCAATCATTTACAATTAATTTGAAAAAATCAATTATTCGACCGCCTGCATTCACTGTTTCACATGACTCTGCCGTTTCTTGTCCTCACGATGGAACAATAGTCCGAATAACTCTTTATAAAAATAAAGTCCGAATAACATAACATTTATTTTATTTTTTGTAACAATTGATTCCATCGTCAAGCCACCAGACAAATCACTTATTACATCGTTAAATTTGCGCAATGAACGGGTTTAATTACACGTGTCGACTTAGTGTGGGGGTACCGAACTGTATCGACGGGTCTAAACCGGTTTAAATGAAGAATTCACTGGCCGACAAAAGCCTCGAGAGTACGGTAAGAAACTTTTTATGTACTAGCGGAAGCCAGATCTGGACCGTCCAAATCATTTGGGCCCCACGTCACTGGTTACGATCGACGTCCCATGTTCAGTGAAATGAAAGGACACGTGTCCAAATCTCAGCGACTTCTTGTGCACGTGAGTGCACATGCTAGATGCCAACTAAGCGGGGCCCACCATGTGATCTCTTAATACAGTGCCACGTGGTGGCCTCCGGTGGCGCCTCGCTCCGCGTGAAAGACCCTCTGTATTTTGCTGTTCCGACTTCCGTGTGTAATTATAAGAAACTTCGAATTTTCATAATAGCCTCTTTACTTTTATATATTTCAAATTCGACACCATAGTTCTTAAGAAGAAAAAATTAAACCCCTCCCAATTTTCTCATATGCTGGTTCCACACTTGGCTGCAGCCATTCAAGGAATTGGGTGTCGGCTTCGAACCTGACGACGGTGGGAGGCGGCAGGGTCCCAATCTCATTTCAATCTGGAAGATTTATTATTTGGATTTCTTTTATACTCAACTACATTTAACGGTTGAAAATAAAAATAACGATAATAAGCCATATGGAAAATATAATGGGCCATCACTACTAAATTTCTTCGAAGATGGATTCATTATAGACCCAAGAAATTTAAAAAATGGGCTGCAAGATGGGTTCTTTAAAAGCCCAAAACGTTTTTTTTTTTGGAAGATGATCTTTCGGGCTATTTCTTTCATGAAGATAATTTAAAGATTAGATGCTTTTCACACAGCTGCGACGTATTTGCTTATTAAGAAATTGGTCCCCTCGGGATTCTTCGTCCAATTCAGCGTTCAGACTGTGTGTGTTCAGCCACTGGTGGATAAGACCTTCCCCAAATGTGCAAACAATCATCCATTTCTTTCGATGCTTATTGAATTGTAGAAATCTAAACAAAAAAAACATAATATTCTGTTCTCATTAAAATTTATTTTGCTCGACGTGTATGGAATGAATCGTATGACAATTTATAGATTGGAGGTCCAATAAGGAATTTAATATTAAATTCCTCGCCAAAGAAAGACGAAAAAGAGGTATACATACATACATACGTGTCCATGTATAACACGTATGTGTCCATATCATATTTTTCCCCCAATATATATATATATATATATATATATAATTTGTAGCGTCGAGACGTTGCGTACAACTCTTATACCTTATAAATAACGGACAAGTTCCCAAGTTGCACACTCAGACAACGAATTCAATAACTAATAAAAACCCCAAGAACCTTCGAAGATTTTATACATTTACACAAGAAAAAAATCCAATGGCAGTTTCATCATCATCAGCTTATTTCCTCTGCCCAAACGTCGCCGTTTACAGGCCCCACCGCCAACCCACCAGCGTGTCAGCCACGTCATCATCGTTCTACGAGGTTCTCGGCATACCGGTGGGTGCCACGTGTCAGGATATTAAGTCGGCGTATCGTAGACTCGCTCGTACCGTACACCCTGACGTGGCAGCAGCGGCGAGTGAAGCCAACGCGCGCGAGTTCATGAGGATACACGAGGCGTACACGACGTTGTCGGACCTGGAGAAACGTGGGGATTACGATCGGATGATTTACGGCCGTAGATGCATTAAGGCCACGGCGTATCCAACGGTTGTGGGGCTCTCATCGGTTTCTGGTTACACACGGAGACGTACGTGGGAGACTGACCAGTGTTGGTAGGGTAATTACGTTCCCAAAATTTGTTAAGAAATAAAAAAAAATGTTCATATTGTCTGTGAGAAATGAGTAATTTGGTACGAGTTTTATTGCAAGTTGTTTTAGAACTCAAGATCAAGTTATAGATTTCGATCTCTAAATAATATTTTTTAAAAGAAAATGAGTAAAAAAACATTGGACGAATGTCCATCTCACTCTACTATATAGTATATGTTTTATCTTATTTTTTGCCTCAAGCCATAAAAATACTGTTAAAAAAAAATTGGACTTTTCCTTATTTCTCCTAACAGAACAGGGTTTTATGATTTTAAAAAAAAAATTCGTACAACTCTTTTGGGTGTCTGAAAAAAGAACGTTCTTTGGATCTTTTACGTGAGAATAATAAAAAAAGACAAGAGCCGAGAGGGAAATATGATGAGAAATAAATTAATATGAGAGAGAGAGAGAGAGAGAGAGAGAGGGGGTAAACTAACTACTTGGACCAGGCGACAGCTTCAATATCAGACTGGGCGCTTCGATAGAGTTCAAGTCGCTTGGCGATGTTCGTCCTCCTCTGCTGAACTCACCGTGCCGCGAGCGACGAAGCTGTAGATCAACGATTGTTGCCCCATCTTTTTCACCCGCAATCTGGACGAACGAAAGCCCTAACACCAGAGTCCGATCCGATCGTTTTCGATCAGAGAGATTTGTTTTCCAGTCTTCGTGTGTACGGAAGCAAATGATCTAAAATAACAAAGAACGAGGGGTTGAGAGAGAGAGAGAGAGAGAGAGAGAGAGAGAGAGAGGACGCAGCGACCGGAGTGAACTGACTAACCTCTTTCTGGCCAAGTTGGGTGAAGAAGAAATCGAGAAGGCTCCGTTTAGCCTCGCGGACTTGACAGTGGACTATGGATTTCGGTATGGAATTGCTCAAGCTGCCACATACCATGTTCACGTACGACAGCACATTTGATCCTGTTTATGTTTCTCCCCCCATGAAAACAGAGCTCCGAATACGAGATGCATACACAACACACAAGTGGACAGAGTGGTTACCGATTCGGCGGAGATAGGCGTCGTTGTACCGATCGAAAATCGAGTGGGTTGGATTGCCACCCTTTTCAGCATCTTGTGGAAGTTTCCTGAAGAATTCCACTGTCAAGTACCCACTCTCCATGTCCACCAGTAGCAGCGTTGCCTTCTTACTCTCCTCCCTCATTCGGTCCAGTGACTCTATCGCCGCACCCGTTACTTCCACTCTCAGTGTCGGGTATTGCTTCAGTTCCTGTCGTTTTAACAAAATTGACACGTGCTTGCTTAGATGATATCCATCCTGCTATGCCATGACCTGACCCTGACAGAGTTGTAATATCAAACATCTGAGAGTTTCTTACAGACGTCTCGCCAACTGACTTGTGAATTAGATCCTTGAGAATGGCATGAACCTGCAGCAGGGAGGAGGTTCATGTTATGATCAAAACAGAGCTCAAGACAACAAAACGGCATTACAGAAGCTGGTTATTTGTACCGCGTCGACTGCTGCTTCAGCTGGGCCTCTGATGGAGACTAGGCATGATTCTATGAGGCGGCGATACCCTTGCTCAGGAGCTATAAGATGCGGTTGATATCCATCTGCTTCTGTTATCAGTTTCCGTACATTGTCCATCGATAGATGCTTGTCAAATTGCAATCTTTTAATGGCTGCTGGGAATTGATTGGCGAATACACCATTAATCTTTTCACCACCAGAACGTCTGAAGTCAGATTGTTTGTTATCAGCAGCCGGGTAAGTATAAACGAGTTAATTATCCAGAAGGGTATATATATGTATGGTGGCGATTGTATCACTCACGTTCCATCCAGGTGTTCCTTGAACGTTTGGTCAAACGCACGACAAATCTCCATTATCATGTATAGTTTTCCCTGCACACAAGAGGTGGGAAGATGGTGATGGTTGGAGGAGAAAACTTGGAATGAAAAAAGCAAAAGCCAAAGGGGACTTTTGGCAATAAGATTCTTACACCAGCATCTGCAGCAATAGGTTTCCCCAGGCGATTCAGTTCCGTCTCTAACTCGGCAATAGTTTTTGTAATAAGAGACTGAAGTCCTGGAATTCGCGACTTGATGACAGTTTCCAGATGCTGAATTTTTTTTATCAACTTTTAGATGGAATTCTTTTTTGCCGATATATGATCATACATAACAAGATCACAATATGAAAATAAACATGCAAGCTCCTCAACTATAAAGAGAGAATTGCATACCTTGGAGAGCATTTTTCCCAAATATTCTGAACCCATCCTCTCAGATAGATGTCTATACTCAGAGGTAGTTTGGAAGTACTCACGTTCTCGCCGGCGAGCAGCAATCATATCAACACTCTTATTAATGTCGGCTTGAGACCGGTTGACGACACCAACCCATGGATACCTTAGCTTATATGACCTTCCCTCCAGAATCTAAAATTTTTCCAGATTTCAGAAAAAGATGTAGCAGACTGAAGTGAACTTGAACGGGAAATATTTTCAGTAATACAAGACATTAAGTATCATTCTTGTATTGGTTTCGAGATGTTCTTGCGCTGATATTCGGAAACAAATCTCACTTTATCATCTTTCTATAGTTTCATGAGGCAATAAAAATGGCTGTTGCAGATGAATGATTTCCGAGTAGTTTTTCATCTAAATGCAGGTATATAGCTTGCTGTTGGTATATACCATGAAAAGTTTCTTGATAGATTATCACTAGAATGAGCTAAATAGAAAAAAAAAGTACATTTCTGTATAGTTTATCGCAACATATAGCATCTAAAAGAAATACTTACCTCAACAGCATTAGTGCCCTGGTCCATAAGATCAATCTTTGTCAAAACTCCAAAAGTCCTGTCTCCTGTTTGCAGCAAGGAAGTAAACGGCAAACCGGAGAATAAGAATCCATCTATTCAACCAAGTAGCTCCAAGCACTATTCATTATATTACACTGATTCTTCACCTCGTAACCCAGAGGGTAACACTATCCTAACTTTTAAAGATAACCAATAAACCATTCATGTCAACCTGATATTTCATGGTCCGTAGAGCATAGCATTGTTTGCTTCAAAATTCAAAAATCAGAGTAATAAAAAACATAAAGAATGGAGCAGATCAGACCTTTTGGGTCAACTTCACGGGAGATCTTAATGGCATCAGATGTAGCAAGATCTTGGTTTGCAGGAGAAATAGCCAGTATAATGCAGTTTGGCTGCCGAAAGGTAAAAAAGTAATCAAAATTTTATTCTGATGCAACCTCCCCTGGAATATTGTAGATGACATACTGAACAATCTTCGGAAGGACAGAGTAGAAAGCCGAAACTAGCATCAAGCTTTGAAAATTGGTAGATATTCATTCTGCTTCATGTACGCATGCTTTCAGATAATACATACCTTCTCAATAAAAGATCTGACCATGTTCTCTATATCTAGAACAATGCTCTCAGGCTGACCGTCTGCAAGTCGTACCATCGGGTATTTATTAATGTTCGTCACCAAATCAAGTCGGAAGAAAGAAATTTTAACCACCGATTAGAGGTACGTTCTGTCGCTTACCCACAGCTACTTTTGTTAGTCCAGGAAGATCAATCAGTGTTAAGTTCACAACTGCAACGTTTTTGGAATAGAAATTAATGGAGGACGGAGACAAAGATAAACGTAGAAGACAGAAGAGAACAAAGAGCTTTAGTTGGATTAAGATTCACATTAGGAACAAAAATAAAATTTAAAGACGTTTTGCTTATCCACCAATTTCTAAACAGCTTATATTCATTTTCAACGAATGTAAAACTGAAGTGAAATGACATATCTCACCATTAGGGGAAAAGATACTAAGATGAATTGGGACGGTAGAGATTTGCTTGGAGCGACCAGTTTCACGATCAGTCTCATCTGAGATCTCCTGCCTCACGGCAGCTGCATGCCCCAGAAAGAAAAGAAAGAAGACCTCAAACGCATGAAGTAACATGTATTACCAACAAGAGGTGCTAGACGAGGAAAACGCATAGGCAAACCGGTAGCAAACATCAACACCTTTTACAAAAATAAGAGGGTAGCAAACATAGCGAATCGTGGCAAATATTACCACTCAAATATTAGCAAGAACAAAATATTTATATATATATATATATATATATATATATATATATATATCCCATCATATAGAGGAACATACCAAAATCAGTAAACTTCTTCTTTGGAAGGTGCATAAACTCTGCATATTCTCTTCCTTCATCAATTCTGTGAAGCTGCAGGACAAGAGGTCTCCTTGTAACAATTCCTACATACAAGACGTTGGATTTAGTGACTAATACATCAAGAACATTTCACTTACGAGCTAAATCATGCACCTTTATGAGCTGATCTGCCCGCAGAAGAAAGTAATTCCAAGCACATTTACCTGCTCCGCGAGGTAGAAAATCCTTTCCAACAACACTTTCGAGCACTGAAGACTTTCCAGAGCTCTAGAAATGATCAGAAACATAATACACATCAGTTGATCCGAAAGTAAACAATAAATATAATGTAATAAACACATTGAATGCAAAGCCTGAAAATATTCTTCCTTTTCTGATTGTTAGTGATTACACTCCTTAAGAAATTCAACATTCATAGAATGAGGCTAATCCGTAAGCAAAACAGTTTCTTATTTGCAGGGAGAAACCATTTATTTCTTGGCCTTCTTTTGAACAAACAAAAGGGTAATGAAAGAATACTAATCTCCAAGACAACATCATCATAATTTCGAGCCAAATCTGAGATTTAATTTCAGCGACAAATATCAGATCTCTTACTTCGAAAATGTCAAACGAAAAATGGGATCAGAGAAATGAAATGTGACTCCAAACCTAAAACGCACGTTTGCCGAACCAGAAGGCAGTATCTAAGATCTAAAGCGAATCACGGATTCCCGGTCCAAAATAGAAAGGATAGAACGATCGCACCAAATTCAGGAGAAAGCGGTACGATACCTGACCACCGACGACGGCAATGGCGGGCAAGGAATCCCAGAGAGTGGGAAGGGAGCTTCCTTCGCCGTGATCGCCCAAGGCCGTACATGCTCTCTGTATCTTGTTCACCAGCGTTATCAAATTCTCCATCTGTCCTCGATTTCACTCGGCGGCAAGGAACAACCGTGCGAAGGTCTCCGGAGAAGAAGAAGAGGGAGAGATAGAGGAACATACCAAAATCAGTAAACTTCTTCTTTGGAAGGTGCATAAACTCTGCATATTCTCTTCCTTCATCAATTCTGTGAAGCTGCAGGACAAGAGGTCTCCTTGTAACAATTCCTACATACAAGACGTTGGATTTAGTGACTAATACATCAAGAACATTTCACTTACGAGCTAAATCATGCACCTTTATGAGCTGATCTGCCCGCAGAAGAAAGTAATTCCAAGCACATTTACCTGCTCCGCGAGGTAGAAAATCCTTTCCAACAACACTTTCGAGCACTGAAGACTTTCCAGAGCTCTAGAAATGATCAGAAACATAATACACATCAGTTGATCCGAAAGTAAACAATAAATATAATGTAATAAACACATTGAATGCAAAGCCTGAAAATATTCTTCCTTTTCTGATTGTTAGTGATTACACTCCTTAAGAAATTCAACATTCATAGAATGAGGCTAATCCGTAAGCAAAACAGTTTCTTATTTGCAGGGAGAAACCATTTATTTCTTGGCCTTCTTTTGAACAAACAAAAGGGTAATGAAAGAATACTAATCTCCAAGACAACATCATCATAATTTCGAGCCAAATCTGAGATTTAATTTCAGCGACAAATATCAGATCTCTTACTTCGAAAATGTCAAACGAAAAATGGGATCAGAGAAATGAAATGTGACTCCAAACCTAAAACGCACGTTTGCCGAACCAGAAGGCAGTATCTAAGATCTAAAGCGAATCACGGATTCCCGGTCCAAAATAGAAAGGATAGAACGATCGCACCAAATTCAGGAGAAAGCGGTACGATACCTGACCACCGACGACGGCAATGGCGGGCAAGGAATCCCAGAGAGTGGGAAGGGAGCTTCCTTCGCCGTGATCGCCCAAGGCCGTACATGCTCTCTGTATCTTGTTCACCAGCGTTATCAAATTCTCCATCTGTCCTCGATTTCACTCGGCGGCAAGGAACAACCGTGCGAAGGTCTCCGGAGAAGAAGAAGAGGGAGAGAGGATGGAACGGAAGAACCGCGAACGCGCTAACATATCGCTAACATATAGGCGACCGTTGAATTTTCATAGGAATGCAGAATGATAAACGGATATGCCGAAAGTGCCCCTGGAGAAACCTTAAATTACAATAAGTCCAAATTTGAAATCAAGGCCCATTATCTTTTTTTTTTTTTTTGTTGCAAAAGCCCAAACCTTAACGTTCTTTTATGTAAAATGTATGCTACTCTGCCATCGACCCAGGGCATATGCATAGGGCTCTGAATTTTTTACGCCTCACTTTTTTTTAATAAAAATATTATTTTTTAAAATTCAACAAAAATAATAAAACAATTATTATAAATTAAAAAATTTAAATTTTAAAATTATAATAGATCTTTTATATTTTAGAAATTATATTTTTATTTTCTAAATTTTTATCATTATATATTTAAAAAAATAAAGAAATTAGAATAAAAGAATATTTTTAATCAAAAGTTTTATAAAAATAAAATTGATTTTAGTTTGTATTATTCTTTAAAATAAAGTAATAATTTATATGTTTTAAATTTTTTATTGGAATATAAATGATATAATTTTTTTTTCTATTCTTTGTTTTTTATAGAATTTGAAATTTTATGTGTTAATTAGTATATTTTGAAAAAATATTAAATATTTATGTAAAATTATTTATTATTTATTATTTTATTTTATAAATTGATTTAGACTAAATAATAAAAAATTATGATGATATTGTTAATTAGATTAAAATTATAAAAACAACAAGTATTAATATATATAATTATTTTAATATATATATATATATATATATATATATATATATATATTATATATATATATATATATATTGAGCAGAACCTCTTAAATTTATGAATTTAAGAGACGGCTACCCTGAATTTTTTTTTTTTTCTAAACCGTTTTCTAATGATATGGCCAAGATGACTCGGGTAAATTACATTTTTACGACGTCGTTTCGGTTTAAATTGAGCGTATGAATAACTGAACCTTGTTGATTTCGGCCCATTAGCAGGAAGTTTAAATTCAGATTATTTGTTTTTATTAAGGAAGTGCATTAGACACATGTCGTGTTTTGGGCTGAGGAGTTCAGACCCAACTGTTCGAATTTCTCTAGGATTTTTCTAATTTCTGTTGAAATACGTCATATATCGTGTATATACATGTATAGCATTGCTGACCGGTTCTCGTGCGACATCGTTGGAATATTTTTTTTCTAAACAAATATTATGAAATCTTTCATTCAAGTAATAATTGTGAGGCAGACGAATACCAACACGATCCAACTAATACCTGTTTCTATATACAGAGAGAGACGGAGGCCTCGACTCCACCTGGCGTCGGTGATGTAGTCGCCACGTGTCATATCAAGAGAGAAGTCAACTTACCCTAATATTAGGGAAGTATTAGTGTAATGTGATAACTGACTGCATGTAATCAATTAGCAACCGAAAAGGGAGAAACAGTCGTGTGACCTCCTTACTTTCAAGGCATTATAGTCTTCATGCTAAAGTTTCGATAATTGGATTTCAAATAATATAAAATAAGTATATTTAATATAAATAAATAAATAATTTTTATGAGATGTGAGATGGTCAAACCGACCGGGTCCACTTCCAGCTTATAATACCTTCATAATTGAAATTGTTACAGATAAACAACTATATATTTTCCAATGAGACCAAGTCAGCTCAATTACGTGATAATGATTTTTTTTTTTTTGTAACCGTGTTTTATTTCTTTGTCATGAACATTCATACCTTAATATTTTGTGTACTTAGATATACTATTGTGAACCATTTCCGATGGTGTATTTAAATGCACAATGATATATATATATATATATCTTATTAGTAAGTTAATTTAAATTCTAATTAGAAAAGATAATTAGCTTAAGTTTGCTACGGATGACTCTCTGAAATATGACGATTTCATATGAGACATATTCACCATTAGTACGTAATTATTAGTGAATAGAACAAACGAAAATCGAGCATACGTACACTACAAGAAAACACGAAAAGGGTGACGCAAAAAGTGACGCAAATTTTGCGTCACTAAAAGGGTGACGCAAAAGTGACGATTTTGTGACGCAATCTACAGCGTCACCCAATGGTGACGCAGTGATGACGCAAAATTGCGTCGCCAAATAACGCGCGGAAATATCGTCACCCGTTCGTCACCCTTTCGTCACCCTTTGGTGACGCAATTGCGTCATTATATTATACTGACGCAATTTCGTCACAAAAAAGTTGGTGACGAAATTGCGTCATTAATAGTGACGCAATTGCGTCACTATTTTTTTTATTTAGTGACGCAATTGCGTCACTCTATTTCCTTTAAACCACACACCACACTCATACACTCTTGCACCCGAAAAAGAAAACTCAAAAAATGGCATCGAGTAATAACAATATTTATTACTCAAGAAAATGGATGTACGAAAGAGTAAATCCTTCTACGGATAATGTGTATCTATGCATTACGAAGAAGGATTGACTAATTTTTTGGAGTTTGCAACAAATCAATATATTTTTCTTCAGAGAGGAAAGATATATTGTCTGTGCCGAAGATGTAAAAACGAGAGGGAAGAAGTTCCAGAAGTTGTGATGAGACATCTATGGAAAAAAGGTTTTGTCTCTAACTATTACGTCTGGGTTTATCATGGTGAGACGTTTCAAATTTCTGATGAGAATATATCTGTGAGAAATACTGATGTCTATGATCAGCCAAATTCATATATTGAGATGGTTCAAGATGCATTTCCATCTCAATATAATGATCAGGTTACAGAAGATCCGATGAATGAGGCATCGAAAAAGTTTTTCGATCTATTAGAGGCTGCAAACCAACCTATTTATGATGGTTGTAAAGAAGGGCTTTCTCAACTATCGGCTTCTGCTAGATTGATGGGGATGAAGACGAGTTATAATCTTACAGAGAACTGCATGAATGAAGTTTGTCAGATGCTGAATGATTATCTTCCCCAAGGTAATAATGCTCCAGATTCGTATTATGATATGTCTAAACTGATGGGATCGTTGGGAATGGAATCGATAAAAATCGATGTATGTCCTAACAACTGTATGATATTTTGGAAAGAATCTAACCAGTTGGACAACTGTCGATTTTGTGGAGCTGAAAGATACAAGGCGAAAAAATCTGGTCAACGCAACCGTGTTCCTTACAAAAGGATGTTTTATCTACCGATCAAAGACCGTCTGCGAAGATTGTATGAATCTCATCAAACAACTTCACATATGCGGTGGCATGCTGAACATACATCAGATCCTGAAAACATGAGTCATCCATCTGACGGTGATGCATGGAAGAATTTTAACGAGGTATATATCCGAACTTTGCATCAGAACATAGAAATGTTTATCTATGTTTATGCACAGATGGGTTTGCACCGTATGGTCAATCGGGCAAACAATATTCGCTGTGGCCTATTGTTATGTCTCCTTATAACTTACCTCCAGATATGTGTCTGAAAAAAGAGTTCTTGTTCTTGACGGTTTTGATTCCGGGACCGGAGCATCCGAAGAAAAGTTTTGACATTTTTCTTCAGCCTTTGATCGAAGAATTACTTGAGTTGTGGCATTGTGGAATTGATGCATACGATGCCTCACAGAAAGAGAATTTCAGGTTGAAGGCTATTTTGATGTGGACTATAAGCGATTTTCCGGCTTATGGAATGTTATCGGGATGGAGTACTCATGGAAGACTGGCATGTCCGTATTGTATGGACGATATACAATCATTTCAGTTGAGACATGGAAGGAAATCATGTTGGTTTGACTGTCATCGCAGGTTTCTATCGCTAAATCATCCATGGAGATGGAACAAAATAAATTTCAGGAAGAATAAGATTGTGACAGATTCACCTCCTCTTCTTTTGACGGGCGAAGAGATATTGTGGGAGCGGATTGAAAGCATTCATGGTTTGGATAAAACCATTGATTGTGGTGGAAATGGTCATCGCAAACCATGTGAATATGGAGAAACACATAATTGGTACAAAAGAAGCATATTCTGGGATTTGCCTTATTGGAGGACTCACAAGCTTCGACATAATCTGGATGTTATGCATATTGAGAAGAATTTCTTTGATAACGTGATCAACACGATCATGAATGTCAAAGGTAAGTCGAAGGATAACGTAAAATCAAGGATGGACATCAAAGAAATATGCAACCGAAAAGAGTTAGAGTTGAGCAATGATGGAAAAGCCACAATTTCGATATTTAGACTGTCCAAAAGTGCTAATATCGCACTGTTGAAATGGTTGAAGGAAGATGTTCAATTCTCGGATGGTTATGCATCTAACATCGGGCGATGTGCTGATATTGATGGTGTGAAGTTAAATGGAATGAAGAGTCATGATTGTCATGTCTTCATGAAACGACTTCTTCCAGTTGCTCTTGTTGAACTAGTCCCGCGCAATGTCTACGAACCTTTATGCGGTACGTACATATATATATATATATACCATGGTTTTTTATTATTTTTTAATATATATTGATATAAATAAAAAAATGAATTAATAATTTTTTTATACATGGGTGCAGGTATCAGCACATTTTTCAGAGATATATGTTCAAGAAATCTTAATGTTGGTGATGTTCAGCGTATGAAAGAAAACATACCGCTAATCTTGTGTGCACTAGAAAATGTGTTTCCGCCTTCGTTTTTCGATGTTATGGAGCATTTGGCTATACACTTACCAGATGAAGCAAGACTTGGTGGTCCATTGCAATTTCGATGGATGTATCCGTTTGAAAGATTGTTTTTTCATCTGAAAAGAAAGGTGAAAAACAAGAACAAACCGGAAGGGGCATGTGCATACATCGGGAGCTAAGCCTTTCAGTCGTGTTATGCATGAAATGGCTAAAAAAAGTGAAGCGCCAACGTTGCTAGATCTGTTGAAAGCAACGCATACACGAAAAGATGGTGTGATGGTTGACGGAAAAGCGCAACAAATCGCGTCACAAATTCAACATGAGGTATATTTTCTAATATAATTTTTTTTAATGTTAATATTTTATATTTAATTTTAATTGTTTTTTAATATTTTAGATTATTGCGTCGCAACCAACACAAGGCGAAGCTTCTGCATCGGAACCTAATTTGCCGAAGGAGAAAATTGATGAGATATATCTTCAGGTAATTTATAAATAAATAAATTTATAATAATTTCAATTCAATTTTAATTTAAAATAAATTATTAACTAATTATATTTTTATTATATAGGTTGTTCCACCGAACAAATTTGGACGGATATACGGTCTCGGTTCAATGCAAACCGATATCACATATCATCCTGGTGAAGATGCTCCTTCAACTGCTCAGGAAACGCTTTCACTCGCACGACGAGTGCGACAATTAGAGGAGCAGCAAGCTGAACTTCTTCGGCAACAAGCGGAATTCTTGCGTCGACAAGAAGAAGATCGAAAACTCATTGAAGAACTACGAGTGCAAGCAGAATTTTTCAATGAGTTCCAAACCCGAGGATTTCCGAGCTTCGGAAGCGGTGGCGGTGGCGACGGCGATGAAGCCAATTACGATGGGGAAAATCAAAATTAAATATTTTATATTTTTTTTGGTTTGTAAATTAATTATGTATAACTTTAATTATATATTTAAATATAATAATATTTTTTTATTTTTTTTATATAGTGACGCATATTAGTGACACAATTGCGTCACTAATTTGGTGACGACTGCGTCACTGCGTCACAAAATAGTAACGCAGTTGTTCACGCAATATCGTCACTAATTTATGACGCAATTGCGTCACCAAAGCGCGTCAATAATTAGTGACGAAATTGCGTCACTAACTGGTGACGACTTTGGTGACGAAATTGCGTCACTAATTGGTGACGCAAGATGGTGACGCATAATGCGTCATATATTGGTGACGATTGGGTTACGCAATTGCGTCACTATTTAGTTACGCAATTTCGTCACCGTTGCTTCACCAAATGGTGACGAAATGTATGCGTCACCCCAGCGTTACCAATTGGTGACGCTTGGTGACGAAATTGCAAATGGTGACGGTGCTATTGGTGACGCTTTTTTTGCGTCACTATTTCGTCACTCTTTTAAAAGGGTGACGCAAAATTTGCGTCACCATTTTCGTGTTTTTTTGTAGTGGTACCAATGTGTTATGATGGATCTCATTCTTCATGATATACGTAACTAGAACACTCTGTGTGCTTTTTTTTCATAAAAAGGAAATAAATAGATGAAAAGCATACATAGTGGTAGGGCCAATATTCCGTGCCCTTAATTATGCACTAAGAAAATTAAACGTCTTATCTTTCGGATAAGGGATGACTTCGCGTATGTACACGCGCACACATATACACAAAATACACAATACATGCGCACACATATACACAATAAATACACACAAATTAACATACATATATGTTGGAGACCTCCTATGAAAACAATTGCATAAGCGGCATGAACATTAAATGTATATCATCAAGTATTTTACAAACGCTTGTGGAATTAATCGTATATAAAAGCTACGTGTTTAATCATGCATCAAATTCAAGGCCAATGTATTAGATCAAGGGTCCAACAGGGGAAAAATACCTAAGCTTGATTAAGTTCCCATGAAATATACCTTATGGTTGAGGAAGTATACCAACATTTATTGTTTTTTCTTCTCATGATATGCGCGCATACACACACAATATATACTCTATGTATGTGTATATGTACATATATGTGTGTGTGTATAGATATATATGTAGGTACATTTCATGGCTCTACTTCAAAGACTAAGTGCAGTGGTCCACCATAGCCGCCAAAGAGGCGATGTTAGAGACAATTGTCTTCGATCCAGAGGGATAACGTTCATCTTGATAAATGTTTTGACATATTTACACAATATATATATATATATATATATATATATATATATTATATGACAAATGATGTCGGTATTGTCGGTAATCAACACTCCTTTTTTATTATATATGTAGATAATGAATGAGGGATATATTGATATCATAACTATAATCCAACAAAATTTGATACAAGCATATTTACCAATATCATCATTGAGATTTTATTAATCAATATAAAGTCTTAAGGACAAAGTAGGCGCACATCCAATCGAAATAGGACAGATATGGGCAAATACCTACTTTTTGGTACAGTCACCATCCCAAAACTTGTGAAAAACAATTATAGATATACGTACGAGAAAAAACAAACTGATATATATATATATATATATATATATATATATATAGTCGTATCATATATATATACACACACACATGGACGCACGTAACCTTTTTTCAGTTTTTATGTTTTATTTACTACAACCTTTATTTTTAATCTAAACAAGCAACCTTATCTGATTGTCAGTTTGTAATAATCAACAATAACGTTAGGCTCCTCGATTTGGATTTGGAATTATGTAGAATTGATGTAGTGAAGTACGTGGTTTGGTTGGAAATGCATGGTTTGGTTAATCGCAATCTATGACTTTCTAGTATATTAAACTTGTCGTTAAATTGTTTATAACGGAAGAAAAAATAATATATGAGAAAACGAAGAATTTATATGATCAATTCCAAATAAATTTGAGGTTAAAGCAATGTTGATGTTGGTTATTATATTTTGGGAAAATGACATTTCTCAGCACAAATTTAGTAAAATAAGCTCTTTTTCTACACTAACTTCTAATTTGACAAAAATATACACCAAATTAACAAATTTTCCAAATCGATACAAGAATTATCCAATTTAACTGCGATTTATATATGTGTATGTGTATATATATAAATATATTTGTATGTATGTATATGTATATATATTTGTATAGATGCATGTATATATATATATATATATATGTGTATATTTTTTTATTTTGTATGTATATATAGATATATTTAAATATAGGAGTATATATGTTTATATTTATATTTATATGTAGATATAAATATATATGAATATATATGTATATATATATATATATATATTTCGTTTTTTTTGGAAAATCTGACGTATTGTACTGACATGACAAAAATTTTCCATGTGGCCTTCCACGTGAGCTGTTAACGAACACTTAATATCGTTTCAGATTGTATAGTTAATCGCAATTAAATTGGATAATTTGTGTATCGATTTGGAAAGTTTGTTAGTTTGATGTAGGATTTTGTCAAATTAAAAATTAATATAGAAAAAAGTTACATTTTGCTAAATTCGTGTAGAAAAATGTCATTTTTCTTTATATTTTTTACGAAACTCCTTTTTCTATATTTTCGGCGATAATTTTTAAATTATACGACTAAACACGTCTCTTTCTATATATTCCAATATTATTAGGTTTGAAAAGTCAATTATACAATTTATTTTTTTCCCTTTTAAATAAATAAGCAAGAAAGATATTGTGAGCAAGTGCATGTTAAGGAATTAATCGAGCAACGTGAATAAAGTTAGAATTAGGTGCAAAGCCAGACCAGAAGCAATAAAATGTAACTAGGCATCACCATGATGTCATTTCCCGAGGGAGTGACGCACGATCGCTCCGGCCGAAAAAAAGACGTTGTTTTCTCGCGAGATATCGAGGAGAAGTTAATTTCATGATCCGAGATAAGGACACGTGTTGACTAAGTAAGGGAACCTTGGCGTTAACGTGTCGACCTCAGGAACAGTCAGCAGTGGTCCACGGGGATCTGTCGGCGTCGCGTTTCTAAAAAACGACAAAACATGACTTTTTCAGATGATGAAATGTCTGAAATGCCCTTTAGCTTTTCGGTTAATTTCGAGGGGAGCGCCATCGGCTGGAATTAAACTTTAGAGGTGTACTTTCACGCACGGTGCCTGTCACTCGATCAGGATAAGATTCTCTCTCTCCGTGTCTGTTTTACCGTATTACCCCTCCCGTTGAAAATAAAAATATTTGTCATTTTCGCCAGAAATCTACGAGTAGATATCAAATCAACACTCAACGACAAATGGAAAACTTATCACCACCACTACATGTGCGATAAAATTTGTGTTATGGGATAAAGTCCGGTTTTTGAATCGAAATTGACACAAAAGCTAGATAATCCTCTAATAAAAATAATGTTATATATGATCATGTCATGGTATTGTTTCTATCTTCATTCGCCTTTTTCAAGTGTTTTCTGCATCGTTTTTATCCTATTTTCTCCCGGCCAAATGTAGATTTTTCTGACGTGGTTAATGGGTTATATTATATTCCGGAAACATTGGGAAAAATCCACCGTGAAAATTTGCAGAAGACCAACAAAAAAATTGTAAAATATAAAAAGAGGTATACAAGTGTAAACAAAGTGAGGGAGAGAGACCCAAACTTGGGTGACCTAGTGGTGAGAGAATATGCAAAGCATGCTCTCACCCTGGGTTCAAATCCAAGTGTGGAGAGGGACATTCACATGGGGTTTCCCCGATTTTCTGAGAGATGTAGTCGGACCAAAGGTGCGGTGAACTTCCGGATTATAAAAAAAAAAAGTGTGTGAGAGAGAGAGAGAGAGAATATGTGGATGAAAAACAAGAGCCCGACTCCTGATATTTTTGACATTTGATGCTTATTGCTTACGGTTAGGTCGACATGCACAAAACATATATGTCTGCAACACTCACTCTCTGCACTTTATCCCTCAAACACCTAATTTCCATTTTTCATTATAAATCAATTTTGTTATATCAATCTCTATATATAAACTACACCTAATTAATAGATTAACATCACCCTTTTCATTTTGAAATTATATATTTAGATATTGTTGTAAACAACGTTTTGAAAGTTTAATATATATATGATAATTTTTCCCTTCTTTATAAAATTAAAATTTATTATTTAATTTGCATTCTATATGAATTGATACAATCATTTTGAAAATATAATATCGATCATATATATAGTTTATATAAAAGCTTAGAAACCTTCGAATTTTTTTTCCCTAAATTGTAAATGCTATCAGGAAGTTAGCAATGGAAGGTGCCTTTTTATCATGATATATAAAAAACCTAGTTCATTTTAATATATGCCGCTTGTGAATATTTTCATAGAAAAATAAAAGGAAATTACAGATCTTGATGTAATGTAAAGTAATATCCCTAATTTTGAAATTTCAATATATACCATGGACCCACTGCCACTTTCCACATTTAAGGCTCTCCGTTACCCCACATGGGTTGTCCTTCCAAATTTCTTTGTAAACTATCCATGAGAAAAAGCGTACTCGTCATTTAAATTGAAATCTTATCATCTTGTATCCATTTTCCAAATTAAGCAGATTCAAATATCACCATCCGATGTTTTTTCTTATGACTTCATCAAACAATTGTACTTTACATTTAAACAACCATTTGTTAAAGTGATTGGATTATATATATATATATATATATATATATATATATAACGGATCTTTTTGGTTGATAATCCGTGTATATGTCATTGGGATCGGTCCTAATTAAGGGACAACTTACAATATTTTCATAATTCAATTTTTGATGAAGGAATTCCCACAATTTTATTATGAGATTATGGTCTTGACAAAAATATATCATGTACCATTGTCCCAAAAAGAAAATAATTTATTGGAAGGTTGCATGTGATTGGCTTAAGATCTTAACTTTTTGGATTAATTGGGAATGGAACGGCCCCTAGAGAACCCATTGACCGTACGTGTTATTGATTGCATATGCATGCATATATGTTTATGTTTGTGTCTACACTTCACATGCAAATTTATCTATTGGATTGTACCCTTTAATGAAAGTCGACCAGTTATACATATTTTTAATTTGTTACCATATAGTTTGTGAAAACTAGCTTAAATTTCCATATATAAATTCGAAATTACTCGCTAGCCCATGAATAAGAGGAAGATGAGACTACATCTCTATTGAAAAATACTAAATCTCGATATTTTCTTATAATTAATGCATACCACACACTATCATAGTCGGAAAAAGGTGGTTTTAGTTAAATTTCGAATGAGTTATGTCAAGGTTCCGTGAGAAGAAAATATAGGAAATTAAATGAAGGAAACGAAACAAATTAAGATAACATATTTGATGGGCTTAATCGACAACAATAAATTATGTATTTGAGAATATTTATACACGTAATTGGGCATATAATATAAGAGACCAATCCCTTGAAGTAAATCAATAGAAGTAAAAAAGTTAATAAATAAATACTCCGGGATGGGTTCCATCCCATGCTCGAGGTATTTAAGGAATAAATGGAAAACAAAAAAAGTATATAACGTAACGCAATTATCAACAAAGTGAGATGCGTCTTGAAGGCTCTTTTTACATCTGTTTGCTCACAAAAGGCATATCGTACGTATACATTGATAATTCAATTCCGAGCATGGCCCATATCTGTTTTATTTTGTCATTTCTCTCTGTGTGGGAGATTATCCTTTGAAATTATAATTATTTCATATTTATTTCCCATGCTATAAGAGAATTTCTTCGTTATCAACATGCGGTACTTATGTGTGCATGTCATATTTGTGTGTATATATATATGATATGTTACCAATATATATATGTATAAATAACAATTTTTTATGGCTAGGAATTTATAGATAAGTAACTTTCAAACATGTTACCGACAAAGAAATTCATCCCATCAAAAGTTTAGGGACAAAAACAAGTCACATCGCGTCATAGAATTCGCGATAAGATTTTTAAATGTTTTAAAGATGCTTACAAACTATGAATATATTGAATATGCGTTTGGCTTTTTGGAACGAGACGTTTATCAGGTTACCGATATGTAACAATTTTCCGTACCCTTGGCCTTGGGATATATTATTGAAATCGGAGGATTTATAGAAAGAAAATAAAATCGCCGGTTAGAGATTTTCCGAAAATATCGCAAAGGGTACGAGAAAATCACAAGACGACAAGTGAAGAGGCGTGGAGAGAGAGAATTTATGACACGATAGTACGTTTTACACAGAGCCTTGACTCTCTCTATGCTCTGTTGCCTCATAAATCAAAAAAGTTTTTGTGGGGACCACTCGGACCCCCCCATTTGTAGTAATAAATAACTTAATTAGTGAATCATAAATTGCTGAATTATAGTGTTTGGATTTGGATGGAGGATGCTATGAAAACCCTAAACCCTAACGAAATGTAAAAACAGACGGTATAAATCCCAATAAGAGAACTCTACAATTTACACATCGATTCGGTATGAACGATGTAACAATCGTATAGGAGTATGCCACATTAGTCTCCAACATATACACGTACACTTGGTGTCAAGTTTCATCCCCTTTATAATTTTACATATAAAAAATGTATTTGATTTCACATTTTATGAGAAAATGATGTGAAATGTAATAATAAAATCAACCGAAAATAAAAAGTCAAAGAGCTCCATGTGAAAACCAAAAAGCAACACTTTTTCTTCCCATCTATAAATACACTCACCAAGTTGCATCCGTCTTTCAAAACCCAAACCTCATTTGATTCACATCCAGAAACAGTTCATTCACAGACTTTTGATACCAATCTCAGAACTCATCACCATCTTTGTCTTCTTCAAATCGCAGTTCTCAAGCTTCTCCGCCATCTTTTCTCATCTCATTTTCTTACTCTCCAAGAAAACCGGACTGAATCTAAGTGCCCTGTTCCTCACGGAGCATCCTCGTACCAGTCCTTTCTTCTTCGTTTTTGGTTGCTCATATCAGAACTCAGAAAATGGGAGAGAAGACCGATGTTGTTCAGGTCGATTTCTACCCAAAGATTGCGGATATCAGATCTTCTCTGTCTCAGATCATACTAACAGGAGGAGCCAACACCCTCGACTCCATCTTCTCCCATTGCACCTCCACCTCCACCACCGCATCCGCCGGAGAATCCTCCCCAACCACCGCCCCTCCGCCTCCGCTCGGTTCCTCCGTCTATCTCCGGCAACGCGACCTCCTCCACAAGTTCTACCAAGAAAACAACCGGGTACCGTACCACACGACAACGACGCCGTTTTACCCGTCAGACCGCCACGACCTCCTCTTCCACCACATGGGTTCCACCGTTACCGCCGCGGCGTTCGCCACCGCCGCCGCCGTGGCCGCCGGAGAGAAGAAGAAGAAGAAGCTGTACAGAGGAGTGAGGCAGAGACATTGGGGGAAATGGGTGGCGGAGATAAGGCTGCCGCAGAACAGGATGAGGGTTTGGTTGGGGACTTCCGACACGGCGGAGGCAGCCGCCTACGCCTACGACCGCGCCGCCAACAAGCTTCGCGGCGAATACGCGCGCCTCAACTTCCCCAATCTCAAGGACCCGAGCGAGCTGCTTGGACTCGCAGATTCCAACAAATTGGTCGCTCTGAAATCTGCCGTCGACGCCAAAATCCAGGCGATTTGCCAGAGGGTGAGGAGGGAGAGGGCCAAAAAGAGCGCGAAAACGACAGCGGTGAAGAAGGCGGAGGAGGAATCGCCGGGGCAATTGTCGTCTCCGGCGGTTACAATAGCGGGGGAAACTTACTGGGTTTCGCCGGAAATGTCGGATGATGGGCTGTTGTGGAACAGCGAGAGCTGTTCGCCGGCGGTATCTGACGACGGTGCGACGGCGTCAACGGCGGCGGCGGAGGCGGCTGAGGCTGATGGGTACTTGCTCACGAGAATGCCCTCGTTCGATCCCGAGCTAATCTGGGAAGTTCTCGCGAATTAGAGAGTGGGAAACCAGGAAATTATGAATTTTGACCGACGAGTAATAACCGAAGGGGAATCCAGAGACGCGATGACGAAATTAGGGTTCAAAGGGATGAAGTTGGGGTTTTTTTTGGCTCTTAAAGTGGGTTTTGAAGTGTAATTGGTCATCGAGTTAAGATTTTGTATTATTATTATTAATCGTCGTATTGTAATTGTCATTATGAGGGTTCGATAGGGTTTTAACCGTTTAAGAAGCCTTGGCAATTTGTTAAAGAGGAGGCTTTTGGAGAAGTTCCCTTTTGAATTTGTATCGTTTTTTGAGGGGGACTCTGGTTGTACTTTTTCCTCCTTCCTATTATCCATATATATATATATATTAATTTTCTTTCTATTTATCGTAACTTTAAACCAACTTGTATATATGTAAACATGATAAGACATTGTACACTCGCAAGAAATCTTTTTATAAGTCAGATTGGAATGCAGGCGCAGATAGAGGACCGGTTTGCTATGGCATCGTTTGTACTTTGTATTGGACGACCGCGCCGCCAACAAGCTTCGCGGCGAATACGCGCGCCTCAACTTCCCCAATCTCAAGGACCCGAGCGAGCTGCTTGGACTCGCAGATTCCAACAAATTGGTCGCTCTGAAATCTGCCGTCGACGCCAAAATCCAGGCGATTTGCCAGAGGGTGAGGAGGGAGAGGGCCAAAAAGAGCGCGAAAACGACAGCGGTGAAGAAGGCGGAGGAGGAATCGCCGGGGCAATTGTCGTCTCCGGCGGTTACAATAGCGGGGGAAACTTACTGGGTTTCGCCGGAAATGTCGGATGATGGGCTGTTGTGGAACAGCGAGAGCTGTTCGCCGGCGGTATCTGACGACGGTGCGACGGCGTCAACGGCGGCGGCGGAGGCGGCTGAGGCTGATGGGTACTTGCTCACGAGAATGCCCTCGTTCGATCCCGAGCTAATCTGGGAAGTTCTCGCGAATTAGAGAGTGGGAAACCAGGAAATTATGAATTTTGACCGACGAGTAATAACCGAAGGGGAATCCAGAGACGCGATGACGAAATTAGGGTTCAAAGGGATGAAGTTGGGGTTTTTTTTGGCTCTTAAAGTGGGTTTTGAAGTGTAATTGGTCATCGAGTTAAGATTTTGTATTATTATTATTAATCGTCGTATTGTAATTGTCATTATGAGGGTTCGATAGGGTTTTAACCGTTTAAGAAGCCTTGGCAATTTGTTAAAGAGGAGGCTTTTGGAGAAGTTCCCTTTTGAATTTGTATCGTTTTTTGAGGGGGACTCTGGTTGTACTTTTTCCTCCTTCCTATTATCCATATATATATATATATTAATTTTCTTTCTATTTATCGTAACTTTAAACCAACTTGTATATATGTAAACATGATAAGACATTGTACACTCGCAAGAAATCTTTTTATAAGTCAGATTGGAATGCAGGCGCAGATAGAGGACCGGTTTGCTATGGCATCGTTTGTACTTTGTATTGGTTTTTATCGAATCTCCGCTATTCAACCATTGATTCTTAGATTCCGTCATTATTTTCCCATTAAAACACGGGAATACGCGTGGTGGATGGGAGATCAGATGGAGATAATCCCTCAATCCATAATTTGGTTGGGCCTTGGGGTTGGTTGGATGCTCAAATGATTTTCTTCCTTTCTTTTGCGAGGGAGTCAATTAGGTGTGTATTCGGAGGGAAGAAAGTCCGACAAGCCAAGTGGTACGTACGGCGACGTAAGATGGTAGATGGATGCCATGTTTTGAGAGTGTCGGAAATCGTTTCCAAAATAATATCAATGCTTGATTACCTTACCTAATCTAATTAACTATAATTTTCAATTTAAACCATATTTTGCACAAGATTCATAAAGACAGTGGTCCCCTTAATTCTCTCTCCGCGTGAAAGCAAAGACTTTTACGGGCGATTGCAGTAAAATATCAATTACGATTTATAAATCAAAGTACAATTAGGAAAAAAAAAACACACGAGATGAGGAAAAGTCATTTTTATTGTTTTAAAGGCACAACATCGACATATCACCACAGCAGACCAGACAAGGAAAAAATTCGTAATAATTCAAGTACTTGGAGTTTCAGTTCATACATATTGTATAAAATAATTTGGCAAAAGGACTAAAAAGCACATGCATAGCACATAATGCATTTATATTGCGGTTAATTTTGATGTTTTATAATTTGACTAAGCATTTGTGTACAGCAAATCTAATAAACATACTACAAATAGATATCCAACGAATATTCCTGAATTAGCTACCTACACCTACAACTAGGGCTGGGCACAAATACCCGAAAATCGGGTATCCGTCGGATACTCGTCTCACGGATACCCGATTTTAGGGTACTCGTAATTTTCAAATCCGAATCCAAATCCTTATTTTTCAATACCCGTGAATCCGGATCCAAATCCGGATAATAGAATTTTTAAAACCGGATATCCGCGGGTACCCGCGTATTATGATTATAAATAATTATATCTTATATTTATATAACATTTTTATAAAATACAATTATTTTAGATGAAATAATTTCATATTTTTTTAATATTAATTCAAAAAAATTAAATTTATTATTATTTGTCTCTTATTATCTCTTTTGTCTTATATATTTTATCATAATTCATCAATTTTTATAAATATATCTTCATGTTTTAAAAATTACAACCATCTTGATCATTATTTCATGGTTCGCTCAATATATATATATATATATATATATATATATAATTCTTATTCTAGAGTTAAGTTATAACTAAATCAAAACCATTTCAAGTCAAATAAAAACAAAAAGGAAAAATTAAAAACCAACTTGAACTGAAAGACGACACAGAAGCGAAGCATACGATTTGTATTAAAAAAAAAAAGAGATACACAGGATATAAAAGCCAAGTGAAGATGACACATTACAAAAGAGAAAAGGGGAGGTCACCAGCTCATTGAATCTTTAGACTTCTGAAGTTTGGTTTTGTATGAACTCTCTATGTCTTCCTGCAGCATTCATCAATCAAACCCTTTAAACATCTTTTACTTTAATTATACGATTTCTTCCAGAAACAATTTATACCAAAACCCATCTAATATAAAACTGATTGCATATGTTCTTTTAACAGCAAACTATTTGAGATACCTTGCAAGACTTTAACAAGGGCTCCAAGAATGAGGATCTGAAGAAGTCGACTGATTTCCCAAGTGAACTTCTATCTGAATCTGCAAGAAGTTAAAACATTTGCTTATGTTAACGATTGAACCGATAGGGCAGATACGAAGATAAATTTCATGATAATAATATCAGGAATGTACCATCATCCAAATCCACGTCCATTCTGGAGCCTCCTGAGTTGAGTTCTTGTAATAGCTGTAATGGTTGGATAAGCAAATAAGCTTACAGTGAGAAAAAGACTTATTTGTTCACTGAGCAATTTAGAAGCACCCTCCTGGTGTATTGAATTTAAACTTTACCAGGGAAAGTGTAGGAACTGCTAACGGATCAAATTCATCACAATTATTCGGGTCTATTGGAACACAGACAAGACCTGAAACCAGAAGAAATGTGAACTTTGAAATCATCCGCGAGTGTGTGAATTGGTACAGACCTGGTATTGACTGAATTCTTAACCATTGGTATCAAAGCTAAGCCCCAAATGGAGGGGCCTTGTCACAGAAAGGTTTATTAAAAGACAATACTGATCCTTATAACCCTACAGGGAGAACCCACTTTGTAAAAGGATGATGAGTCTTATACTTGTTTGAAGTGCAACCATAACAATTTTCCATTCTCTGGAGGGTGTTGCAGAGGATAGGAGTACTTTCATAAAATAGATATAAAAAAAAAACCGACCTGTTTTTGGATGAACACAGAAGGGTGCCTTCAGCAAATGGTTCATTTGTTTAGAGACCTGAAATTAGGGATCAATGACAACTAACCCAATTAGTACGGTTACATCACAAGCGTTTGGTGGAAATTATAGTGCCAATATAAACTAACCTCCAAGTCAATCCGAGGGTAAGCAAAAGTGAATACAATCTCTTCTATGCACATCCGCAGTGACTGAGCCTGCAAAAGCAGTGGACTCAAAATTAGTCATTCAACCAGCACCAAGCTGAGATTCATGTTACATTAAACTAAAATATCGATTAGAAAAGCAGAAAACTTTACACCACAGTAATGTAGATGTCGGTTAATTTAATTGTAAGAAGCCTTTTAAAGCTACAGATCACACCTTTTGTTTCTTTGATAGGAGCACATTTTTCAGCTGCTCCCACCTAGTGATGCTGATGGCTTCTTCGGATAGAGATGGTCTCGCAGCATTCTCCCACTTTTCTCTAAGTTCTGATTTAATATCTGCCATAAAATGTAGATTGTAAACAATCCAGCTGTTATCGAGATCAGGGAGAAAAATGCACTATCACACTGCAGTACCTTCATCTGGAATCATCTCAAGTACCTTCTCGTATTTCTCCTTGCTAGAGAATATCTTTTGTGTTGCAAGCAACTTATCCTCAAAGAAATTCTTGAGAAAATCCACATATGATCTCCTGAAATCCCAAACAGGATCAGCAGCACAGAGAGAAATAATTTAGAAAAAGGACAGAGATCTTAATCTTACGCAAGAAATGGATGCAGGGCATGACCCATCAGAGCGACTTTTCTGGCTTTGTTTTCATTCCCCTGCACCACATCAATAAAAATCAAAATCATCAAATTCCAAAACTAGATACCAATAAAGTAGACAACACCTTAGATTGAGAGATCACCACCTTATAAACATGGAAATATTCAGCAATAGCTGCTCTTTGTTCATTAGTTAACCTGCAGGGTTGATCACATAGTGTTACTCAATACTGAAATATGTTGTATCCATGAAAAATGAGAAACAGTGTCGGTTTCCTTCAGCGATTTTTTCACCTTCGAGCTTTGGCGTCACAAACCCAGCAATGGACTCCACGTCGACCACTGAAGACCCAAAGAATGTGTTTAAAACCAAAGTCCTCTGCGCATTAGATTGATAAACCAAACCCATTAATGACATATAATTGAAAAACACGAATACTTCACTAACGATCTTTGCACATTTTCAAATCCATAACAAGCAACTCTTTCTATGCATTTCCAGAACTTAAATAGAGATCATTCAAAGATCAGGAAAAAAAAATCAAATCCAATTTGTGGTACCTCTTAGGGCCGTGTCAATAACTTTAATAGCAACTGTCATTAGAGGCCAGCAGCTGTGGCAAACATCAGCTCCCGAGCAACAATATCTGACATCATCGTAATCCGTTATATCCTGAGGAAAAAAATTCAAGAAAATCCACCAAAATTGAACCTGTGTTCAGAGTAAAAACCACTGATATGAACTCCGAATAAGATATTTAACTCACAATATCGAAGACCAGCTCTCTCTCCACTGGAGTAAACACATTGTCACCGCTTTCGGCGTAGGCACGTCTCTTATATGGCTGAGAGAGGCATTCATATCAGAAGTCAATCAAGAATTCTAATGGTTTATATGGTCCTTCAGTAGTTCAAAATGAAGAATTTCTAACTTACATCGACATTATACACAGCACCGATATCAATCTTGAAGGGACATTTCCCTTTTATCGATTCTTCCATGGCCGAAGCATTCTTGAAGGACATGTACCTCACATAAACGTCATTTTCTAGGGTAAATGAAAACTCTCGTCGACCAAAATAGAACTCATCGCATCCAGGATGCTTCCCATCTACAGAACATACACGGACATGAACATATAGAAAAGCTAAGTCATTGATAATTATGCTTTTCACTAGTAAAGGAGAAGTAAAATCGGAATGCTCTATAGTTACAAGTACCGTTTCCATAGGAAAGCCATCTGAAGATATCATTATAAGGAAATAGATTTCCTGCAACATACAATTAAGCGTTCTTCAGTCCAAACACGAAAACCAGACATCACTCATGTCCGTGAAACGACACGAATTACGAGATAGAACATGACAGGAAAACTTGCCGTAGTAGATTCGGAGGTAATGAACATTGAATTCGTCGGGATATTCAATTTTAGGATTTGGGTCGGTGGTCCGAAGTTCATCTGTCACCATATCCTCAGTTTCTTCCCTGGTCATCTTCCCTCACAAGACAATGACAGTTCTGTGCAATCTGCCAAGGGAAAGCAAAATTGTTCAGACACCAGATTCACAGAAAAAAGGGCCGATTTCAGGATCGACCCATACAATTTACCAGACAAAATTGAGGCTTTCTCGCGAATGTACAGGAAGCAATCGATCGAAAAGGGAATTCGCCGAAACCCGAGTCCGATGGAGATGATTGAACTGGCAAGGACAGAAATAAATAGCCGATGGGGAAGACAAACTTGCCGGAGACAGTATCAGTCAGCCGTTGCGAGTCCTGGCCACTAAGATTTCCTAGCGTTGGCTGAAAATGGCAGTGGTGGAGATGGCGGGAATAGGAGGAGGACATTAGGGCAAATATGGCGGGAAAATGATTCGAGAGAGAGAGAGAGAGGAGAGGGGATTAGGCCCAAGTCAAAGTCATGAGTACGAAACCCAATATCTTTTAACAGGCCCATTTATTAGTACCCAAAGGCCCTTTTTTGTTTGGTCGTCATCATTGGACATATATGATATATATTAGGAGCACGGAATATTCGCCACAAACGTTTGTAAAGCTGCTGCTGTTTTTTCCATTATAAATCTAACTAATTTATCTTAAAATGCCCAATTTTATTATGATGTAAACATTACGTTAATGTATAAAATATTGTATAAGAACAAATACTTCAAAGGAAAAAATGAATCCTAATATATCGAGATATTGGTAGGTAATTAAAAAAAAATTGGAATTTCAGTGAGTATAATCAGATAAAATTTTGGATAATAAGTCAACATAAGAAAAAGAACAAGAAATTCATTGAAGGCTATGCATCCGTACAGGAGCAGTTGGTTTATTTCCCCCTCAGAAAACGAGAGGGAAGGCATATTCCAAATTTCCAAGCTTCATATATTTTTTTTTTATTTATATATAATAATTTATTTCTTTATTTAAAAATGTCAGGCGACAAGTTGCGGGTAGGAAAGCCCTTAGACACTTCTGGAAACTTCCCGTGACGAAGCTTCTTCTTCTTCTTTCTCCTTACCCTTCTGTGGCGGCTTGCTCCGTACGCTGATCAGAGGATCCTTTTCGATCTTTGACTAGGACCGATTCTTCCATCGAGTCGATTGGTTGTTCTGCGAGTCTTCTTCCTCCGCCAGATTCGTTTTCTCCGAGATTCGGTGGCGTAGTCGTGATGGTGGCGGTGGAGTGTTGCACGGCAAAGACGGCGGTGGATGGGAAGGGTTTGACCGGGATCGAGGAGGAGTTCATCAGGAGATATCACGCTCACGAGGTTATGGAGCATCAGGGTAGCTCGTCTCTCGTTAAGCACATCAAAGCTCCTCTTCCTCTGGTAAGTTCCGGTTTGAGTCATTCTCTGATCACCTGTTGGGTTTATAGATTCCATTATGGGCGATCCATCATTTCTTTCCGGATTGATTGATGGAGGAAAATGGATCTGTTATATTGTTTGTTTAAAAGTCAGCAATCGAAACCCCCATCCTAAGGTTAGATTCGTCAAACGTACAAGCATTGACCAGAGGTAACTCGGCATTAGAAGAACCCATCATGGAATTCCGTGGAAATTTGGTGAGGGAAAGCGTCGGATCGTGTGTATTTGATAGTTAAGGTTGTGGGTTTGGATTAGGTTTTATGTTCGTGTGAATGAGATGTTTCAGGTTTGGCCGTTATAGTGATAGATGTATAGCTGCTATTGGAAGAACCAGATCCTGTTGTTGGATTTCTGAAAATATTTGCAGGGAGAACTCCTGAATTGATTGTATTTGCTATATAAAAGTAAGGTTTGGGTAAAGGTTCATGATTGTGTGTGTGATTTTGGATTCACAAGCTTGTTCATTTTATTGATTAGATGCATGTGATAACTTTTAGAAGAACTTGCTATTGACTCCTGAACACAGATTCTGTGGGGAAAAGATTTGGGTTGACAGTATTCGTTGTTTGAGAACTAGGGTGTTGGGCTAAGTTGCATGGCTGTGTGATTCATTGTTGGATTCTCAGGTCTGGTCCTTGGTACGAAGCTTTGATCAACCGCAAAAGTATAAACCATTTGTTAGCAGATGTGTAGTGAGAGGTGATCTTCGTGTTGGAAGTGTTAGAGAAGTGAATGTTAGGTCGGGGCTTCCAGCTACAACCAGCACTGAGAGGTTGGAGCATTTGGATGATGAAGAGCATATCTTCAGCATGAGGATAGTGGGAGGAGATCACAGGTTAAAGGTAACAAACTTTATTTTTGACAGTCCTAAATTTCTCTTTTGAATCTTGGCTTTTTTTGCTCTCTATATTCTTTATGTTTATCTGAATGGTTCCCCACATTGGTCATCATATAGGCTTCTGCACTCTTGCTTAACCTAGTCTTTCCATACCACAGTTTGATGGTTATCGATTGCCGTTCTATAGCGCAGATTGACTGCCGTTTTATACAATCTTTGGCCTTTAGCATGAACCTAAACCTCCTTATGTTTTTTTATTTCTCCTGACCTCTGCAAGCTTGCAACTTTCTTTCACTCTGCGTACTTTGTTTTCTCGTTTCTCGTGACAATGTTCTCTGATTCCTCCTCTGACGTTGGGGCTATGCAGAACTACTACTCTGTGGTCAGTGTCCATCCCGAGGTCATAGATGGGAGGCTCGGGACCTTAGTGATAGAGTCATTTGTAGTAGACATACCAGAAGGGAACACCAAAGAAGAGACATGCTACTTTGTTGAAGCCCTCATCAAATGTAACCTCAAGTCGCTAGCAGATGTCTCGGAGCGATTGGCTTTGCAGGGCGGTACAGAAACCATCAACAGAATCTGAGCTTCTCGGGTAATCAATTATCAATCACCTGCATGATGCGCTCTACCGAGTCTTGTTTAAACTTATTGTACAGGTTCCTCGGCTTGAAAACCACCAGTAACAATCTTCGGAGTTTGAGCTGCTCGGTTAAAGGAGGGTCTGCTCTCTTGTGTCTGAAAATGTAATAGATCCTAGTGGGAGTCCTGTTTGAAACCATTTTACTGTACAGCTCAGCTTTTGTTATGTGTCCGAAACTCAATAGGTCTCTGGTTCTGGACTCATCTTTTTATACCCTTACAGGTATTGGAGTGTGAATCAAACGTCGAGTGATTTGGATTCGGATTGTGTCTGTAAATATGTCCTCATGACATGAACTCTCGCTTCATAGTAGAGTTTCTTGTTAGATATTTGACTCATTAGATGTAGATGTAGCCGTTGGTTTACTTCAATTTTTGGCGCAGTATATCCAGTATTTTTTTCACATCATCCAATACACACGCACATATATATATATACACACACCAGATTCTCCTCATAATTTTAATTTTAATGTCGTGTTTCATAGAAGGAATTATAGATATATGGATCATATAAATATTTTAGCTGTGTTTTTTTTATGGCCAAGGATAATCTCGTAAAAGGCAAAAAGGAAAAAATGGTTGGCCATTAAGAGAAAGGGCAAAGAAATTAACAACGGTAGCATTAATTTCAACGTGGGCATGGCACTCGCGTCCTTTTCCGTCTTTCATCCTCCAGATCTACAGAGTTCAAAAACCTTCGAGAAAATCTCACTCTCCCTTTTCTCACCTCCCAAACACTCATTCCTTCAAATCATCCCGTGTCAGCCCAAAGATGCCTCAGTTCCCGATCTCTATTTTTGTCTTTTTCTCTTTTTTGCTTCTGTTTTCGAGCGTTTTCACCCTCGGGGAGCCGACGACATGCTCGGGGATAGTGCCGTTGAGGCACAGGGAAAATAGGTTCTCTATCACGGAGTTCGGCGCCGTCGGCGACGGCACGACGGTGAACACCAAGGCTTTCGCGGCTGCGATCGATCGGATAGAGCGGAGCGGAGGCGGAGGAGGAACGCTTCTGTATGTGCCTCCTGGTGTGTATTTGACTGAGAGCTTCAATCTTACCAGTCACATGACACTTTACCTCGCCGGCGGTGCCGTCATCAAAGCTGTTCAGGTGGTTTACTTGTTTTAATCAGAGCTTGTGGGGACTGCATATTTGTTTTGTTTCGTAATTAGAAGACGTAGTTAAGTGTTTGCGATAGTATTTTCACTGATTAAGCGTGATTCATCGAGCTGGTTTAGATTGTGAGGAAAAAAAAATACGAATCTGAGGTGCTTGATTCTCTGACTGCAAGAACAGTATACTTGCTGAATATCGAATCGCCTGTTACGCGAAATGTGTCGGTGGGAATGAGCTTGTGTGTATTGTAAAGATTTTGTTCATTGGTTTTCGTTGAACTTTGTTTCTGATTGCTTTACAGTTGTAATCATTGCCTCTATGTACTGTAAAAAATGTGTTGCATTGTGTCTTTTCGCTTGGATTATTGAAGGGCATTTATCAAATGATTGCTTGATGACTCAGGACGCAGAAAATTGGCGTTTGATTGATCCTTTGCCATCTTACGGAAGAGGAAGAGAGCGCCCAGGAGGAAGGTACATAAGCTTTATTCATGGTAATGGACTCAATGACGTCGTGATTACAGGTGGGGACCTTTTGGTTATTACATGAAGACATTAGATAGTTCTCTTGTTAGAACCCTTTTGCGTTAACTTACCATTGGTAAGAATAACCATATTTTCTGGGAATGTGGATTTGATTTTTGGTAATATTGTGTCGCAGGCGAAAATGGGACAATAGATGGCCAAGGAGAACCTTGGTGGAACATGTGGAGACAGAGGACTCTAAAGTTCACAAGACCGAATCTTGTTGAGTTCAAGAATTCTAGGAACATTGTTATCTCCAATGTAGTTTTGAGGGACTCACCGTTTTGGACCATTCACCCGGTTTATTGCAGGTTCCCGTTCTTGCTTTCAGACTCAATTCAATGAAATAAAGAAAGCTACTTGTTACTTTCTAGCTAAATGTTGTGTACTGGATTCTCTCTGATGATTTTGTCTGTCATGGCAGCAACGTGGTCGTTCATCACGTTACAATCCTCGCTCCAGCCGATTCTCCCAACACCGATGGAATCGATCCAGGTTTCATCTGCTTTCTACCCTTTTAACATTTTGTGTTCATTGTCTCGTTTTATATTTTAAAGCTCCTCAGTATATTACACCCATGTATACATCTAAAACTGCAATTGTGAGAATCTAAATCTGAATAGGGAACTGAATATGGCACCTGTCTCGGCTCTGTCACGTTCAATCCATAGCTTAGCTTCCATCCGTTTGTGTCTTTCGTGCCATTATCACATTCACGTCATCTGTTTTTCCTTCACTCTCTAACCACACAGGTTATGAACATTTTAGACATCAATGTTTCCAAGAAAATATAGGATCGCTGGATACCACCTTTAATGCTGCTTCTGAATCCATTGCTGCAGATTCGAGCACGAACGTCTGCATAGAAGATTCCTACATATCCACCGGGGACGACCTTGTTGCTGTGAAGAGCG